TCAGGAGGATATAGTATATATATATATCATTTATTTAATTTATCAATAAAAGGTCAATAAATAAATTAAACTTTTGAAAATATCGAATCCAAGCAGTGTGTAAAATTAATTAGAACATTGATCGATAATGTAGCAATCATCGTTATAGTCGAGTTAGAACACTTACTTATCAACAGACGAATAGTCTTGTTTACCATCATTAGGTGTTATAAGCACGCCGTAGGTAAGAAAGTTACATCTATATATAGTATGCCAAAAAAAATGTGCACAAACAACAAACACAACTGTCGGCATGTTTTCAAGTGTGGAGATTCGTGTAAACAGTAATAAATTTAAACTTTAGTATTACAAATGAAAAGGCAGCAAAATTAGTTTTGAAAACGATTGACAGATTGACCGTTTATGTCAGGTAAGACCTTATCGTGCTATTATCATTCCCTAATAAATTTTTTCGAGGTTATAAACGATTCAAATTTTGAATGTTTCTTGCACTAGTTTTTGATAATGTATACTTGTTTGTATGTCATGTAATGTTTTTTTATCAGTGCAGTAAACTTTAAAAAGTATGGATCTTCTCTAATTGCTTACAAATAACAAGGACAAGTTGTTTTTGCATACTAACTTGAATGGTTTGCAATAAAAGTGACTGATGAGATTTTGCATCATGGATACTTGAAGTTTTTTTAATCTCATTTTCATTTTAAGCTTAGATTTAAATAGGTCATTTTTTACTTATTTATCTTGATTTGAAAGATTGCCAGAATATGACCGTAGAGAGTTCGCTACACATTTCACTGCAGTTCTTTGCTCTTTTTCCAATCCATCCTTTTTTTGTCAATTGTGTAAATGTAAAATTTGGATGAAATAATCGCGATTACCCAGTGTATTATTTATTAAGACTCAGATGTATATTTTGAACTGTGTGACAGTTCAAAAACTGTAAATACACACCAGTTGTCAAATGCATTTAAGATACTGTAAGATTCAGTACACATTATTGTGTATATTAATAGCTCCGACAAGTGAGCAACTGAAACCAGCATTGCTGTAACTTGTTTATTACATTAGTGGTGAGAAAATACTTGTTAAAAAATTTCTAAAGCGACCTGATGTCATTAAATCTGTCATATAAGCAGTATACCTCTGTCGTTAGCCAAACATTTCTGAACCTAAAGAACAACTTTTGAGCGAAATGAATTACTTATTAAAAATATATTATACAGAATGACTAAAGTTTTCAGTAAATTACAGTAGTTGCTATACATATACAGTGGTCATTCACAAAGAACTGATTTATTTAGACAAGCTATTTTCAGTGTAGTGGATATGAGTCAGGTAAATTAAAATAATGATAAGAAAACATTTAAAATTCAATTTTAATACATGATAATAACTATTATTTAAGTTTCTATTTACATAATTATGAATTGAATACCTCAAATTTTAGAACCCCCACTAAAATCCTAAGTACCAGTATTTAGAGAGTTTACAAATATTTTTAAACTTGATGTAAAAAAATTTTTTTTTGCTATAACTAATAAATACTACTTTTTTTTGGTTATTATAAATACTTATTATCAATGCTTGATAATCGTAGTGAAACCTTAAAAAATAAAGTAATGCAATTGATACAATAAATACAACGACTTGAAAAGTTGCCAGACAATCGATTTCTTACTCACAAAAAATTTTTCAATTTTCACAAGTTAACAATAAACAATAAAGAGTGCAAGTGGCTCATGCTTACATGATATTTTGAACATTGAAACAATTTTTTACTGCTGCACATTCTTTTTTCACTTTTTCTTTTAATTTAGTTTTTCCACTCATTTAACAATATAAATATATTAAGGTTGTTTTATCAGCCTTGCAACATGTTAATAATTCATTATGTTTCTTTGTTAAAAAAAAAAAATAAATAAAAAAAACTTTAATGCACATTTTTTTATTCTATTTTTATTTTTTCAATCTTAGTTGTATTTTTACGCAGACAATACTGACAGTTTTATTACTTTTATCATTAGTTTTATTATTTTTCTGGACCTGTATACACTTGTTACTTTCCATTATGCGTATATATATATGTTCCATGTATGATCATGAAATTCCTCATAGAATGAAATTATTAATAATCATTCACAATTTCATTCTTGATAAACTTTTTTGTGATTCACTTTAGTTGTTTAGTCAAATTTTTTTCGTCAAAGTTTTCAGCAGAGTACTAGTAAAGTCGTCAACAATGGATCAGAAGTTTCATCTCAAAGATAAAATGTTTACGAAGCGTTGCAAAGGTTTTTTTACCTAAAAATTAAACAATACTGTTAATATCATTCTCGATTGCAATTTACTACTGTACCCGAAATACAGGAGCTCATCAAATTTAAAATTGAAAACTAATTTATTTAAATGATTATTGATTAACAAATATTAATGAAGCAACAGCTACTATTATAAATGTTAAACTTTCATAATTTGTGAAGTCTTCCATGGAAAATAAAAGCATTAGGTTAATATAGAATAAAAAATTTGTTTATCATCAAATTAAGTACAATAAAGTTTATCAGTTTCAGTTCGATACCGAAATTCCATTTTTTTCTTTTTTTTTCTCGATAAAAAATTATGAAAATAAAAATTGCAGGGTTTATTATCACCTTAAACCTAATACGATCAGATTCATTCGAATTATTTCAAAAAATCACGTTATGAAATATTGAAATAAGAACGAGTTGAATGAATATTAAAAGATATAAAAATTCAACTTAGCTCGCAATACTTCCATTAATTAGTATTTTATTTTTAAAATTCAATATTTTGTTACAGTATTGAATGAAGCAATACGTTTGTTGTATTCGTTCTAATATAACATGTTTTTTAAATAAAAAAATACGTCTTAATTTTAGGAATCACATATTTATACTTTCCATGAAATTCTTACACCGTATGTGAAAAAAGTTTAGTCAACCTTCAAAAACAAAAAATCAAATTCAATAACGGAAATACGATGAAAAAAGAATACTATTAGTTATATTTAAGTTGAACCTTATTTTCTGGAATCTTTTGCTTCCCGATTTAAGTTAGAAGATGAATCTTGGATGGATGAATCCTTGGTTTATTTACAGTGCATGTTGATTTTGAAAAATGTAAGAGAAGTGCAATCAACATGTATAACGACCTCCTGAGTATATTACGTTTCTCTTTACGATGCAGACCTTTGTTGTCGCTTCCGGCCCATGTTGCAAATTTTGAAGTGACAAAGAGCCACAACTGAAAAAAAAAAACATTCTTTAAAACCTTATTTCGGGCATATCAAAATGAGTAACGTAATAAATTTTATGGTTGTATTTAGTTCGCTCACTATAAGGGTATTTTAAGTTTCAGGTATTTTTTTTTTCTTTTTTTAATATTTCACAGTGAGTACAGAATCTATTAAAAAATGTAACTAAAGAATTGCACACTTTTAATATTTACTTTACTTATTATTTAGAAATATTTCGTGTATAATTCAACATTTAATACTCACAGTTGCGTTTTTCCGCTGGGGGTTCCTCATCGCGATAGACAACGGGCACTACTGGAGGTGTCTCAGGATCTTCTTCCGAAAACATTTGAGCTTGTTGATCTTGTTTGTTTTTTAACTGTGCGTTCACAAAAGAAGCAATTTCCTGCTCTTCACTCATTTTTCTTATTTCTTTGAAGATTCTTTCTTTTTTTCTTTCCATTGCCTCATATCTATCCACTGAATTCTGTTTGGACATAATATAAATTATCTTTAGTTATTTCACTACACTTGAACGTCAAGCCACACCCCAGCCAACGAAGAAATACTCATGTAAAATAGTTGGCATAGTTCGCACAGTAAACATCATTCATTATTGAAATACGCTCACCTTAATAGATCCATCGTATCCATTTTCACGATACATCATTCCTGAGGACATTGGTTGAGGAGCAGCGGCTGCCCTGCGATTGCTCAACATGCAGGCTACTGATAGAGCCAGGAAACACAAACTCCTTTTGGTTGCGCTAGCGTTTCTCATCATTACCCCGGAAATGAAATGCTCTGCAAAAAAAAAAAATTTTGAGCATTGTGTGACAGTTTCATCCATCGTTAATTTAATGATTCTAAAAGTGTATAAATGGTATTTTTCATTTGTGAAAAGGACGCAGCATTAAATTTCAAACATACGTCAACTCAAAATAGTACATAATATCATTCAGTTTCAATGTTTATCACAGAAATATTTTTTCCTACGCGTTATTATGTTATAGTATAGTTATAATATCCAACGTGAAAAAAAAACAGGTTATATAAACTAAACAATTAGTCATACAGTAACTAAAAAAAACAACATAATATTAATGTACGCTCAAAGATTGTAACTAGATGCTCTAAACAAAATAAATGTTTTTCTGTCATCCCTTATTCATGATAAAAAGAAAAGTGAGAATCCTATATTAGCCTCAATCGCACTTCATATATTTTAAATGCTTTTGTCGATATCGTTTCTTTTACAAAATTTTTTTTTTCCAGATGTATGAAAAAACAATTTATTACTTTACGCGAGATTTTTTTACTCGCACTTTTTGCACCAAATGTTGCGCACTAAAACATAAATTATTCGCTTGAACTTGAACGATTAAACGTTTAATCTAAATTTTAAGTACCGTAGCAGTGGGAGGGTCTTTTCTTTTACTCTGATTAATTTACGTGATTGCTCGAGCTCGCCCAATTTCATCAGATTTATATTTCTTGCGACATAAAGTTTTACTTTATCAATTTTCAAACAAGATTATAAAATATAAAATATAGTATTAATAAAAAAAAAAAAGTTATAAAATGGTTTATGAATAAACAAAAAACATTCGATCAATTGTAAGACGATCTAATAATGTTCATGTATTGTATTAAACGATTTTCGCTTCTGAAACTGATATGTTTACAATTTTTCGAGAAAAAAATGTTAACTATTATAATTTGGTTTTACGAGCACTTGCACTTACAATGAGCACTAGATTGTCTCGATCTACAAAAAAAGTTTTTTAAACATTTAACGTTAATGTAATACATGGCACCACTAAATACGGTATAACATTAAAACACCATCATGGAAGAAATCGTTACGTAACGGGAAACTAAAGACATAATTGTTGTGGGCGCGAACTTACAAAGGTTCTAGATACTGTACGTCACATTATCACATTTACTTCACACTTTCACAATTTTTCGTCTGATATGTTTCCGTCATTTTATCACACTAACTACATCACCATATGTTTCTTCCCTCCCGCGGTCGGTTCTGGAATCTGTTTTTAGCGGAATGCCGAACGCCCGACGAATGAGCGGCGGTGGCTGATAGCCTGTCTATTATAGCCCACTTCCAACACCTTCGAGCTACACTGATACCTTCCTGCCACCTGTGGAATCATGGTATAAGGGTGAAATCCCACCCACGCTCTGGTACAGGGCGCCTTCTCACTCCTCGCTGGCAGTTCTAGCACTTCCCCCTCTTTCTCGTCCTCCCAACCTTTACATTGATTCTAGTCATAATATTTGTTGCTTTGTCAAAATTTTTACTATTGCCTATTTTGCCTTCTACAATTACTCTTTTTCTGCAATATTTGCCAAATGTAATTTATGATTGCGTTATCAAGAATAATTAAAATAAATTCCTCTTTATTTCCTCTTGCCCACGGGTCTGAGTCGTAATCAGTAGTTATGGTCAAGATACGGGCAGACAACAGCATCTCAAGATCTTTCCGTTTCTAAATGTCCTATTTTATTTTTTTATTTTTCTAAACATCAAAACGTATACGTAGTAAAGTATTTCCAAATATTTCCGCATATTTTACATGAAAGTGGATTATGAAATTTTATGGAATCGCACAATCGTTATTTACGTGAAACATAAAAGTCTTCACTCATTTTTTCATCAATACTTATTTATTTTATGTTTTTTTACGAGGAATCATGGTTGTGCATAAATTGAAGAGAAATAAAGGATGGTTGAAAAATTGCACGTATGAAAAAAAAAGTGGAGATGCATACCGAGAATCCCGGTGGTGATGAATTTTCATAAATCGAGCCTCAGGCGCACTTCCAGCGAATCAGCGACGAGCGTATCTTTCTACGTCTCAATCATCTCGGCGATTACCACACTCCTTTGACGAGATTAGCATTGAAATTAGCAATGAAAATATGGTTGCTGTTTTTTTTTTTTTTTTATTCATCGTCACTTTTTTGCCCGACGAATGCGCCAATCGAATCGAAGCGGAGGTCGGCTCGCGCGATCCGCAGCTCGGCCCATCGGAACGTTCTCAAGCTGGTGGTGATAAGCCGATCTGCAACTTCTTATCGACCGCAAGAGCCGCGTGTGTGTGTGTGTGTGCCACCACTTTAATCTGCCCACTCATGTACGTAGCCAAGTTGTCGTAATAAATGTTCATTCTTACCGAATAACCGATTTTTCCTGCTTTTGCCGCTTGCGACAAAATGGCCGACTGCTACCACCAGCTGCTCGTTTTTGTTGTTTATGCTCTTTATTACTCGTAGCCCATCCAACCAAATGTTTCTCGTAAAAATCTAATGACTTCCTAAAATGGTATGCCTTTATTGGCGTATCTCTGCTTTTTAAGGGCAGTGACTCTATCGCTTTCGAAAAATTCAAAGAAATCATTTAAGAAAATCAATCCACATTGGCACGTTTATGACGTACGTCTGAAAGTCGATCGATCCAGCGCACTCGAACTTGCGATTGTTGAAATTGCTCTCGTAACTCAGGTAGCGTTCAAAATACGAATGAGAAATGATTAGTAAGTATACGGGGTCGATGCTATTCATGCTCTCGCTTTTGCGTTCGCGGGCTCATTTCGTACCGAACCATTATTACATTAGTGAAAATTTGTAAAATTGCACCGCGTGTCTTGACATGTGACGAATGACATAATTTGTTTAAAAATTATTCACGTCTCCTTTTTTTATTTTTGGCTTCTGAATTTTTTCACAAATAGTAAAGTCATAACATTATTGTTTTCCAAATTTTTTCGTTTTTATTTACTTTTGGTGAAAATATTTACGTGGCGATTAATTTTTTTTTTCAATTCGCAGAAAATGTCGGACGAAGAGGTGGCGGAGGAGAAACCTTTCGAGGTCGAGCGCGCCAAATCGGGCAGAGCAAAGTGTAAGAAATGCAAGTGCCCGATCGACAAAGATCAGGTGCGAATTGCCAAATTAATGGCCAATCCCTTCGGTGAGGGCAAGATGAAAGCCTGGCACCACGTGTCTTGTATATTCGAGGTATTCACGAAGCAGCGCGCGACCACAAAGAGAATCGAGAATCCTCAGGAGGATATAGGTGGCTGGGACGCCCTGTGCGACGCAGATAAAAATCTCATACTGGAAAAGCTTGCAGATTTCGAAAATGCTGGTAATATGTTTTTTTTTTTTTTTTTTTTTTTTTTTTTTTTCGTTCTTTAAATCGGAATCAATTGAAATTATGTCACTGATTAATTCCCTAGTTATTGTGAATCTCGTACGTTCTAACAATCGAAAACTTTTATTTTAAATGAAAATTGTTAATAAGTTATGGGTAGGTCAGTAAACAATAATCAAGACTAATCAGCGATAAATTGATGATTAATGTATTAAGTTCTTTTGGTTCAGATTTAGAGAGTAGGTATACTAGTATTTTTTATTTTACGTGTAATCAACTTTTTTGAATAATTTCCACAATTTACAGAACCATTTAAGGCGGCCAAAGCGAAAGCTACAGCAAAATCTCCGAAAACTAATCAAAGCAACAAAACATCCAAAAATGACTCAAGTGTAAAGGCGACGACAAGTACTGACGAACAAAAGCAGTCTGCCAATGTTGACACAACTAAAAAGACAAAATTTACAAGAGATAACACGTTTTTGGAGTTCCAATCGATTTGTGACCAAGTCTCCAGCTGCAGCGCATACTTGGAAAAAACTGCGATCGTTAAGAAAATGTTTACCAAAGGATCCAGTGGAGGTAAGTGTGTTTATCATATTTTTCTGTTTTGTTAATCGTGACACTGTGGGAAAAAACCGAGTATACTTTTAACTCGATGACTTTTAAATTTTTGTTGTCTAATTTGTGTAGGTGTAGGTCAAAGCGATGGTTTCTAAACAGAAGTAAAAATTAATCGGTGATTTGAATCTTCTAATTTTATTTAGCAACATTTTATTGATAACAATTTTCAATAATGTTCTAAAGTTTTTCGAAATCATTATTGTAGAAATTTTATCAAAAATTAAAACTAGATAATTATAATATTAATTTNAAAAAAAAAAAAAAAAAAATTATAAGCTAGTTGTCTACTATAAGATTTGTATAATATTTTGCAATGTCGATCAGCACATTTATAAAGCTGTGTCATATTCACAGGTATGAAAAACCTGACATCTCGTACATTTTGAGTCGAATGCAAAGATTTCCATCGAAAAAACGTTCTCTTCTTTTTGTGCGGAAACACATACGTATACGTGCTCTTGTCGTTAATTACTCGTATACCAGTGCGATCGCCAAAAGATTTGCCCGCGAGATAGTGGTGCAGATAAAAACCGGAATCTTTACTGTGCTGAAAGTGCGACTCTGTGATGAATCTCGACTTTTTCGAGAATTTACCGCGCATCGGATCGTTATTTGCCTCGTTATCGCGCCATTTTGCCGTGCAACGAACTTTTACAGCTAAACACCGGCTGCTGCAGCTAGAATTGCGTTTCTTGTACCTACAATTGCGAAGAACACACGAGGTAGGTACATATACGCACTTGCACAGTTAAATATTAATGAGGGCTGAAAACTTGTTTACGGTGGCCGATTAAATTTAAAATTTAAATCCATTACAAAGTTTAGTCCGTTGCAATTGAAACGTTTGAGTCTGTGTGTCTCATTATTTTATTTTCTTCGAAATGATTAAAAACGCACATTTATCGTTTGTAACTTATCCATAAACAACATTCCGAATTACAAGTCTGTTCTTTTTTTTGCCAACACTGACCTCTCGGATATTATGCCTCAATAATCCTTGTAATCAAAATTACCAGCAAAGAAAGTGACTTAATTACTGATTCAAGTAATATGCGGACACACGTTTACATATGTGAACGTATATCAGAAATAACGCAAGTACAAATGCGTCGATGACACTCGATACGAAAACAAACTATTTACAATATGTGGCATAAGACTGTAATACTCAACGAAGGACACAGATATGAAAATTCACTCGCTAGAGCGTAAGTATACATCGTGTTAGTACCTACCTATCCCCTTGTCTCTAATGGCGCATAAATCCTACCGAAACGACGCCTTCGATAACGATCGGTAACGCGTGTTGAGCTACTTGTATTATTTCTGCTGCTGCGTATGCGTACTTGTATTATTTATATACACAGTGAACTCGTGCGCGAAAGTCTGAGTTTGTCGGCAGGTTGATTATTGCGCTCTGAATTCCGAAATAAGTTAGCTTAGATCGGTTATCTCATTGGTAATTCACGCGTAGATCGGTAAACGTATATACCTCTGTACACTACTATTTAGGCGATCGTATTTAAAAACCAAGAGCATTGCCACACTCGTATGCGATGAAAAACCATCGTTAGGTAAACAGATGAATAAATAAATTAATAAACGAGTGCAAAAAGAGTTGATTTCATCGATATCTCACATACACTTGGACCGTTGCAAAATGCGCTGTCATTCGTGTGTTAACGGTAGCCATGAGTGAACCGATCTAGCAACTTGGAAATCGAGAAAAGCGCCGATTGGCCGAGCACCGCCAACCCGCTGGGAGCCGTCGCGATAGGCTGGCGCTAGGAAAACTCGCGCGGAAAATTACCGATCTCTTTCCGCGATAACCGATCTCATGGTTTTTTTCTTTCCAGCGCTTATGCAGGTGACAACTGCTTTCATCCAACTTTCGATTGTATCGGGGACTCGTTCTTCTTACGGTCAATTTTATGAAGAAAAAAAAGAAAAAAATAAATTAACGTTTGAGCAGCTCAAAGTGAAAAGTATATTCAATAAATAAGGCGTGAAAAAATACGCCACTCAATCGTATATAATTGAGTTTGATATTTCGTGAAATGCATTTGTATAGTATGTAGAAAATTAACTCATTTCGATATACGCACTTTGAAGAAAAATGCACCGTTCCGCAGCGCATTTAAAAAATAAATTAATTAATAATTAGGCAACGAAACCGCTGTCAATAACGTGCTTTTTTTCAAATATGTAACTTGTCTGTTTTTAATTACCATAAAGTATTTGGGTACGTCATTAAATTACTATTCTTACTTATATGCATATTATTTACATATTTCACAAGATTGACAATTGATATTTTATCAAAACATTTCCCATCAAAAATTTTTTAATTAAAGGCTCCATCACGCAAGAAAGTAAATGTATTTCGTTTGATTTTATTTAAGACTTGACCATAATGATTCATATCTTAATGATTCTTACAGACGTAAATGTTATTTGTAACAAATAATAAAATAAAAATAAATGTGAGGATTGAATTATATTACAGTGCAGAGGAACAGCATATTTATAAATCCGACAACCGTATTCAGTCAAAGTGCCAGATAGTGTCCCGTATCCGTCATGTCAATGGTCAAAGGACAAATAATCTTCCCAATTATCCCTCTCCCGCTCCCATGGGAAGGAGTTTTTAATCGGTGGGCGCCCGTGTTGATACGTATATGTGTCCTGCACTTACTGAATAACTTATAACTGCTTATGGTAGGGGATTTTCAACGAAAAAGGTCTTTCCGTGCATAGTATGCGGGATTCCGACACCATCTCTGCGATATAATTTTTTTTTCGTAGAGATGTCTTTTAGAAGATTTTCTCCTTCTCAATAATTAATATAAAAAAAAAAAAAAAAAAAAAAAACCATAATACTAGGTTTTTCCCTGGGTGTGATAAAAATATGTAAAAAATAATATTACTACAAATGCAAATTATAATCATTTTTGTAATAAACTGTTTTTTACACCATGTTGCTATGAAATTACTATTGCAAGAATTTTTGTTACATTACTTCCTCGAAACATTGTCATTTTTGATTGAGTTGAACAATTGGGAAAATAATTTGACTTTTTTGAAGCCACCCCTTCTTTACACCTCTCTGTACAGATTTCCTTAACAATCCAATGAAATCCCTCCCATATATTATAGATCTCTGTCCATTAGGTTGTCGTCTCGATGGCGTTTGTGTGTTCTTCGACGAATTTCCGTTCGAGTACTCGATACCTAATTATGCGAATAATAATAAAGGGTGTAGAAAATACAGGCTACACTATAATGGGTGCAAAGTATCCTTTTCTCCTGTTGCCATGGGCGAGCTGCTGCAGGCGCCAGCCAACAATAACCGCTTACCCTACCGATCCGGAAATGGAACCCAAACTTGCAACGCTCTACACACACAATTACACCCGGCCATTTTGTTCATTCGCACAAATGCGCGCCTCAAACCTTTCACTATCCGGCGCCGGTGCGTCGCTCTTTTTAACGCACTCACGCACGCGTGTTTTTCTCTCCAAAGCGCATTATACGTACGCACAGATTGCATGGTGCTTTTGCGTATAATTCCCCCTCAAGTATGTCGCCGATCGGATCGAGACGTGACGAGATCGCGATCAAGATATCGTGCGGAGCGAGGCGGTATTTTGACGCCAGTAGACGATTTTTTTTTTTTTTTTCTTTGCACGCGCAAATTAATTTTTCCGTGCTGGCTTTGATAAGTCACCGGTGTTGGTACAAGCGCGTGCTTTCGCAGATCGCGAGCCGATAGTATGTGTATTTTTCACATCGGCTCTCGTGCCACGCGATGTGTTACGAACTTGTGTTTTATAATTGTTGCACAAACGGATATGCAGGAGCTGAAAGGGGAGGGGAAGGGCACAACGAATCGGTGCTCGTGTGTCATGTACGTTGGCGCGTGTATAATGTATATGATTAATTAATGCCGAGTGGTTACGCATTGTAAGGCGTGTGCTTTTTGCACTGCACTCGTCATTTACACCTCGTCGGATTGTTGTGCAGAGGAAACTGCAAAGGTCACCCCCTTATTTCTTCATTTAAAAAAACGTATAACGGTATACTTACCGCGACAATTACGCTGATGATAGCTTCAATTCGCATAGTAGCTGGCCGGGCCAGCGGTAAGGCCGTCGCTTCGAAAAGCGCGTGGACCGATCTGGAATACCGATCCAGGCGTTTGCGACGTTCCCTTTCTCCCTCTCTCCTTCTCTCCTGCATCAATGTTTAGGTTTTTTAGTGTTTACCACCTTTTTTTTCTCTCTTCGCTTCCTTTTTTCCTTTCTGCGTATGGATCTTCACCCGCGGGCTATGGTATAATATCATGTATTAGTTGCCGGTCCAGCTGACTATGGTCTCCCGAGCTGTGGTTGAGCCCCTTCAGAGTTTATAATTATGTACAGAAAGCGATTAGCGAGTAATTATTGTGCGTACGAGCGTGGATTTATTTGCGGCGACGCCGCGTTAGGGTTGCTGCTGCTTTTGTAGCAATGGCGAGGTGTTAGGCGCTTCGTTTCGACTCTCGAGCGCTCGCTGTTCTGGTGCACCTGGTCCTAGCGCGGCGTCCCAGACACGTGACATGGCTGTCGCCTTGATCTGCAATGATACAACATTCATCATTGGATTATTTATCATGTATTTAAATTATTATACATGTATTATATATNATGTATTATGTATATTTAAATTAATTACTCTAACATTTGATTTTTCTTGAAAATCTATTAAAGTTAAAAAATGATAATATTTCGTGATCTACTTTCATTAAAAAGAAAAGACATACATTCGGAGAGTATGTACACTTTTGGTATACATTCCAACTAAATTTTTCTTTCTTCCTTTCTTTTACTTGTTATATATTCATAGTATTGTTTTAATTTCCCTCCACGCACCAAAACAACTGTTATCGCAACTGAAATAATTAAATCATACGTAAAATCTATAATTTGTCCTATTTCAATAATCTAAAAGAATGATAAATAAACGCGCTTTTATTTTAAGTACAAATATAGACACTGACCACACACAGATCCTAGAAACATACAGAAAAAAAAAAAAAACGGCAGTCTTACCAGATGACACAAATAACATAAATTATTTTATTCAAATCGTCATGTGAAAATAAAAATTACGCACAGAACACAAAATCACCTTTCGGACAAAGGAAAGTTTTAAGAAAAACCAGAAGAAGAGAGAAAGAGAAATGAAATGAAAAAAAGGATGAGAAAGAAAGAAACGCACACGCAATCAGTCGTGAGAAAAATCTAAATTCCCTCTGGAAGCCGCACGTCGCTTCTTTAATGCACAACGAAATCAGAAAAAAAGCATGGAGAATAGTGTGAGAATGAAAAAAATGCCATTGAATATAGAGTTGCTGAGAAAAATTTTCTTTCGAAATAAAAGGACAGAATGACGACAACCGGGCTGATTTAAACAACAACAATAACATAATAAAAAATATTGATAATACAACGATCTGCCAAGAGAAGAGCAATATTTCGATAGTTAATATAATTCATAGTAGTAATGATGATAATAATAGTAATGATAATAATAATAATTGTTGGCCGTTGGCTGAACATTTTACATGAGTAATCGATGTCACACCCCCCTGCCGATCGTCTTGTTAATTTTTGTATGACTTTGCCAAATTGTTGGATCGTCGCCGAGCTTAAGCCTCATTTTGAGTAGTCGCTTGGAAAAGATTCGACAACCGCAGCCACTCCGCACTTCAATGTAATCCAGGGCCCAGGGCGAGGTGTTTGTGTTTGTGTTCGTGTTGCCGTTGTTGCTGCCGCTGCTGCTGCTACTGCCGCTACTACTGCTAGTGCTCGTGCTGGCGGTGGTGTTTTGGTACGTGTCGATTTCCGGTTGTTCTCTTTTGGTCTTGCTGTAGTGGTTGCCGCTGCCGTTGTGCTGGGGCGAGCTGGTCACGTTGCTCGGGCGCTTAGTCTATCGAAAGTGACAAATTCAATTCGTTTGAATTATTTTTTTCCTTACATACATGGAAAATTTAACAATCGCCAAGTACAAAAAGTTATCGTAATTACAATAAATAACTAAATAAGTATGTGTGGGTGGGTGCATGTATCAAATAGTTTTAAAACTGTCAAAAGAACCGGAAAAACGAGTGTAAAGTGTTACATACTTGGTGAATTTCAACAAAAACGTAATATTTGTATCATTGAATGCAAGTACGTTAGTTATTGTTAAAAACTAGTCATCATCAGGTAGGTGATGTAAAAGTTAATTTTAATATAAATGGATAAATGTTAAAAAAAATTTTCTAATTTCTAACTACTATTTAGTTACATTACAGGTATATTGGATACGAGGCCCTATAACGTATTGTATTAAAATGTAGGGAGCACTTACATTTTTAACAATGGCATACGAGTACGAGAATAGCTGTACGCATCGTGACTGCGATTTGAGCCTGTGATCAATGTACTTGCAGGGTTTGCCGATGACGTCGGGCCTACACGATATCTCGTAAAAGCGCTGCGCGTTGTCGCCGTCCCTGTAAAGCTCGACGTACATGTTCTCGACGTTACGTCCACCTACGGGCTCGACCATTTCTACGACGGATGGACAGCACTCTGAGGTGTTGGACTCGCTGTTCTCTTCGAGCTTCATCAGCTGCTGCAGTTCCGAGTAGGAAAGACGCTTCAGCGACGACTCCTTGAGCGCCATTTTCCTTGTTTTCCAGAGTAGTAGGTTAATTATTTGCATTTTTTTTTTTTTTTTTTTTTTCAATATAAAAATCGGAGTTCTAGTAAAAATTTGTCAATATACGCATGGTTGGTTGAAAAGCTGCTAACTAGACTCATTTGAAAAACTTAATCGATGTGACGGCATAGTACACAAAGTAATATAATTTCGCTGCACAAAAATTAGATCTTAAGATTTTAAGATACAGAGAGAAATAGAGAAATCGCTGCAATTATTATTAAAAAAACTGAGCACTACATGAACTATCTATAATTGTTCCTGGGACTGTCTTTATCGATAAATTATAAAAGTATCTTCAATTAAAGTGAGCAAACTTGCATCTAAAAAAATATTAGGACCAGCCGAAGTTGCTTGATCCTCGAGCTATACTTCATTTGTCGGTGCATACACGAGCTGCCGATCGCAGTAATCTCACGATATCCAATTGGCTGAATAGATCGCCTATCGCGTTTGGCTCTCGGAGTATAGGCCATGAAGAGCGATCACTAATGCCCCAATGGTTGGGAGGAAGAAAACCGACCGGCAGCTAAGCGCGTGCCTGGGGGCGACCGAGAAAAAGGACCGCCTCCGCGGCTACCGAGCGTCGAGCTTTTATCAATGCGACCTCGTTCCCGTGTGAATTTTCAGAGTCCCTGAAACCTCCCTCTCTTTCAGTACTGCGTTGCAATTGCACGTACGAAGAATGTCCAACTTTTCCACGCTCTCCGCGACGCGAAATCTCAATGCGCGAATGGAAAGATTTACACGCGGAGCCGATCGTGTGCGCTCGCACACACGCGCGCACTGTTTTGATTTCTGTCTTTTCTTTTTTTTTTTTTTTTTTTTTCTTTGGCGTGTAATTGTTTCAGCCGAGCAGTCGATGAATTGACGAGCCGAGAGAAAAAACAAAGTGATAGAGAGAAAACGACATTTTTATCACCATTGTCTGCTGCTCCGCGTGCTCCCAACTTCTCTCCACGGTCCACAGTGTTTTTTTTTTTTTTTTTTTTTTTTTCATACCACAGAACCCTCCTTTTTTTCTCTGATCCAACGATCGATGCCGCTTGCCGCCACCCAAGGTTTACCGGTTTCCCGAGCTAACATAACATTTATTATACCTACTGGATAGTCTGCCTGTGGTCCATAAAATATCGGCGAGATACGACAAACACTCTGCAGTTTAAAATAGCGTCCTCTGCATGGGAACAACTCAATGGGGGAGGGGGGATGAATTGCCGATAAAGATGCTGTTTTTGTAATAAAACGACGGTGGTGAAAATTATATCAACGGTTTTAGTTTAACTTTTAGTCAGCGACTTATTGTGATATCTTATGTAATATCTTTATCGTCTATGATGAATTTTTTCGGTACAGTATATTATTCTTTTAATGGGGGGAGAGTAATTTTTTCCATGAGAAATATACACGTATTCTGCGATACAAGGTACTATTGGTGCCGATTTTTTGTTCCATGCAGATGGCGCTGTTTCGGATGAGCTACCCTTCGCAAAAGATAGTCGATGAGCTAGTGAATTTTTCATTTGTTCTTAAAACCCAAACTTTTTGTCTTCACTTTCTGTGCACACATTCATACATTCCACGGTATGCGCTATCGCTCGCGTCGATGCCTGTGTATTTACATCTTGGGAGCGCGCGTGCTCGCAGATAAACCGACACAAGTGCCGATACAATTAAAATTCGACCGATTAACAAGCCTGCGTGCATCGTTTCGTATCGCCTCCCCTCGCCCTTTATATAAATCTCCGTTGAATAACTTGGCGAATAATCGAAATTTTTATGACTTTTTTTTTTTCTCAAATTTGTCTTTTCAAGGTTTTTTTTGCTTACACCAATCGTTGCTACGTTTGTTTGTACACAAAGCTGCAGTTAATCAAAAAAGCGTGCCCCAAGATCAATGTCTCTTTTCGCGACGAGACAGCTCCTATGTACAATTCCCCAAATTCACAGAAAATATTAAATATTAAAATTGATATCCGAATTTTGACTTGACGTTTAGAAAAAAAAATATATCATTTGGCGTTTGATTCATAATGTATAGCAATAGGAGAAATGAAAAAAAAAAATGCATCCTTACCTGTATTTCAAACGGCGTGAAAGGTCCTTTGTCCTGACGATGTAAAAGAACTTGGGATCGATTCACTTTGGTATCGTCTCTATTGCGATTGTACAGCAAATTCAGAGTGTACGGTAGAGTTTGTATAATTGTAATCACACGTTTTTTCACCTCCTCCAAAAACAACAAAAACTTGCTATTCTACGGTCCTCCCAAGTTATTTATTTATTAATGTATGTATTATTATCTCAAAATCCAAAGATTTCGAAGCCCCTAAGTCATTGTGCTTTGATTTTCAAACGGCGCCTTGACTTGAGAAAAGGCATTGGTCGGCCTCGCAAAGGAGACAAAGAAAATCGAAAACCAAACTGTTCGGCTTGTATAATAAGTATCCGCAAGTAAACAAGCGGGAAAGTCCAAATACAAGTAACAACAATAACAACCGTGGATTCACTGTTTGTCGACTATTGGTCCAAGAAGAAGACCGCCGTGACTTATAAGCTCTTTGCCCCCACCGAGCAGCTCCCAATCATAGATGCCGATGACGAGCCCCTTCTCGCAGCCTGCTTGGCACCAGAGATCGCCGTCTTCCTCTCCTCTCCAGTTCCCTCCTTCCTCCTCTAATTATCTCTCTCTCTCTCGTACGCTCTCTTCCCTCCCGGCGTCCCTCGTCGTCGTCACCCACCAGCCATCGCTTACTTATATTATTTATCCTACAACACATGCGCTGTATTTCATTTTTTTTCTTTTTTTTTTTTTTCGCATCGGAGACTCGAGGTAAGTAGGTCCGTGTGCGAGTACCCGCTTTTCTCTCCTCTCGGTAATGCGTTTACATCCATCAACACCCGAATCGTTTCTCCCTCTGCAGGTGATGAACGCCCCATCCTGCGTGCCGTAACAGTCTTTTTCTTCCCAACCTCCCACGTACGGCTGTGTTGACCCATACGCACGGATACACGCTCACCGAGACTATACCCGCGGATTGCAATTTCTTGGCCCACCCTCTGCGTACACGCTTATACACGTGCTCCGGCTATCATGTTTTTTCCTCTCGCGTTCACGCCACCCGAGAATCCAGTCGCGAAGGATTTGCTTCGAAAATCTGTCTCTGATGCTCACATGGTGGTATACATTTTACCCCATGCGCCTTTGGTCCCACAACATTCCCGTGCGTCACTTACTCCGGAATCCAATTATTTAGCTGAATGATGAATAGTCTTTTCTAGCTCCACGCGCCTCAGCTGTCATCGGGTTGTCCATCGGTTGCTCCGTATGCACAATAATAAGGCGTACATCTAGCTGATTTAGTCTCTTTTTTTTTTTTTTTTTTTTTTTTTTTTTTTTTTTTTTTTTTTTTTTTTTTTNACATGTATTATATATTTTTTTACATTTTATAATATTTTTAAATTTCTATAAAATTGAAATCGGAAAACTTTCGAGCTGGGCTTAACGAAAGGTACTTTCCAATCTTCCAAATATAGAGCTCACAATGGGTTACATATATATCGCAAATATAATATATACACACATGCAAATAAAGGATTTCTTGCATGGACGTTACGTCAGTTCGTGCACGCAGAGTGTATGTATGTATCATGTTCGCAGCTCGAGGAGCCAAGCCCTTTTCTTGTTTTCTTTTCTCGCAGTAATCTCTCTCGATACGAGCCGGGACGCTGCTCCCGATAGAATTCCCATAAATCTCAAAAGCCTGTCTCTTCCTTCCTCTCTCTCTCTCTCTCTCTCTCTCTCTCTCTCTCTCTCTCTCTCTCTCTCTCTCTTTCTCTCCCTTGACTTTTAAAACTCCTTGCACTTTCGTGTACACGTATGAGCTGTTATTGTACGCAAGATTCGCGCCCACACCTGCCTTCCCCCTTTTTTGTTTATCTCGTTAAGAAGAGGGAGAGAGAGAGAGAGAGAGAGAACTCGTCTCCGATGGGAGTGCCGGATAGGCAGGTTTCGGCCTTTTACGATTCGTGTTATGGGTTGTTTTACGGGACGCCAGTCCAAGTGGGATGACTATGTTGCTGCCGCTGCTGCTGTGTGCATGACGGCCCTTTATACTTACCTTTTTTTTTCCTTTAGTGGTTGATGTCTGCGTTTTAATGGTTACAGAGAAACAAAGAAAGATAGCCCGGGTGACAGATGAAGATGTATTATGTCGAACGTGGCTAATAGAATATGTACAATTTTTGCTCGGCAGAATAATTGTCAATCGTTGAGAATTTCTTGATTTTTTACCAATAAAAACTGCAAAAGATATTTGACTACAGTGTTACTATTAACTGTTATTATTTTTGAATATGAACGACATCGTCAAATGGATGCAACGTGCAATTTACAAATGTGCTTCCTTTCATCGTACTTATAAGATGCGTTAATATTTTTAATTAGCAATCAGTAATTTTTTACATTTTCGTAAATTTTTTTTTGACATAAGATTTTTTATAAGAGTTTCAATTTTGGATCTACAATTTTTTTAACATGACATACTTCTACATTCTGTTTTGTAAAGAACATTTTATATTTGCTTTTAAGAGTAGCTCTAATTAAAGGAAAAATATGCCAACACAGAACCTTCAAAAAGCCACACGAGAACATCCATTTTAATACCTAAATACTCTCCACGAGGGAAAATTTGGAAAAGAGAATAAATAAATAAGTCAGTAAAATTGAGAGTACATTCCTTAAGAGTATGACGATTTTGTACCTTCTGCACCTTATTTTTACTCAAGGTATGGGCTTCCTCCTATACTGTAGTGTAAAATGACAATTTTGTAAATAATGCAGCTTGATAACTTGTGATATTCTGTATGACCAAATAAGGGCTGCAATACTTCAGAATAAGTAGGTATCGTAAGATGATAACATTATACATATTCTTTTTTTTCCATGCATTAATCCTGTATGTTCAAAAACAACAAAAAAAATAAATGAAAAAAGCTCTCGTGACACAATGACCAAACAATCTTTCCACGATCTTTTAACATATTGAAAATATATTTTTTTTAAATAATTGCATTGCTTTACAAATTTATTTTCCAAGTTTAATCTCACGAGCTCATTCTAGCGCTTATATGTGCATGGCTGCATATGCTACCTATATAATATACCGCTGCTGTGTATCGTATATATAGGTAAATACAGTTGGTGCGTGTGCAGAGGTATACAGGGTTTGAAAAATCGCGACATAAATGCGGCCGTGCATGGTTGGCTTGTTTATTCGTGCGGGGAATATGAATTTCGACTCTGCCAAGTTGAGTTCCCGGGAGCATAAAAAGCGCTCGCCTTTTAGTTTACGATAAATAAACTTAAAATAATTTACGAGCTATGGCTCGCTGCTTCGTACTTGTGCTAGTGTATGCTCGATTCATTCGTACGTAACATGCCGATGGCATGCCAGAGAAGCGGGCCTTTAATGATCAAAGTGATGGATTCATCTAACTTGAGATGAACGTTTCCGCACCGTTGGCTCTGTCTTGGTATCATTTGTACATTTTATTTTTTACGAAAGATAAACCTAGGCTGAGCATCAATCAGCATTGTGTAAATCATGTATATTAGGAGGAATTTTTAATCATTCAATCTTCTGCGGAAAATAATCCGCCCTAGTGGGTTTTCTGTTTTACTGATGCGTAATTTAATTGTATAGGTAGATGAAAAAAAGGGAGGCTTAAAAGAAGCGCTTGCATGGTTTTCGATTGCGTTGTCTTAAATCCTTGATCTTAAATATGTAATAAATTACGTAGTGATAAATTTCATCGATTTCCTGCGCTTCTATAAATCTTTTACTATGTTTATCTGCTAATTGAAGTTAATGAATTGATGGGCCATTCAAAATTGAAGTGAAAACATCTTGCGCTCGATTACGTACTGTATTATTAAAGGAGAAAACTGGTTATTGGAGCAAAAAGTAAAAGAAATGAAAAGTATACACTCGTCGACTTCATGATGGCAGATATAATCAAGAGAAAGAAAGAGGGAGAACGAAAAAAGGAAGGAAGAAATGATGAGGCGATGGAACATGTCTTTATGACGAACGAATCGCGGCAAACGCGTGGAAGTACCTAGTAGTTTAAATTAATTTTTAATAGACGAAGTTGGCATACAAGTGGTGAGAGAATTTTTTTTTTTCTTATTTTAATTTCTTAACTGTAATGAAAGAAGAGGAAGAGAAGACGTACAGCGTCGAGAGCGAAGTAATCGAGAAATCGGCAGAAAGGCTGCGTAAATCGCGCGATTTAACAAAACCCCCCGTGAAGTGAGAGAAATCCGTAAAGGAAACCGGAACGCGTGGTACCTTAGACCATGTGAAAAAAATACGTGTGACAGGACCCAGGAGATTAAGATATCCCCGGCGGCTTTTCTCACCAAAAAACCCCCGTTCTCCACCTTCTTCTCCTCCTCCATGTACGAACGAGTCATTCATGAGGTCTCGTATCGCGCGCGTGCGTGAGTACTACATATACTTATTCGTACATGAACACCCGCAGATATACTTATACTTATGTACGTAAGCGTAGACCGCACGCACCGTAACCCGATATCTACCGAGAGAGGGAGATAATTCGATCGACAGCGAAGAAGGCGGAGGAGGAGCTGGAACCTACTTGTATGTAGGTATGTGTATCGGTAAAATGTGTATGTAAAAAGGCAGCGGGACTTGCTTAATAAGGGGGAAGGGCCCCTACTTCGTCTTCTTTTTCTTCCTCTTTTAATCTTTAATCGGTTATTGACGAGCGTCTTGCAGCTTTTGGAGTGAGTGTACGAGTTGGCTCGCTTCTCTGATGCACTCTTTTTCTTTTTCTTTTTCTTCGGAGCTGAGAGACTCCGCCAAATTGACGCAATTACACAATTGACTTATCCTTTATTTATTTTTTTTTTTTTCGTAAGTACCATCAGATAAGAGGATGAACGTCTTTTTGAACGTGAAAATTGTTTGTCAGAGGAGGGAGAGGTGGACACGCTGATGACTCAATTAGCCGCACGCTTCGTCGTAAAATTCTTCGCAGACGTTTTAACTTTTTTTCCGTTCAATAAGTAAACATAGTTTTAGTATACCTACAATAACGAAATAGCCAAAAAAAGCTGATGTGTGTATGAGGTAAGATTTTTTTTATTACATTAGATGAAAAAGGACTGATTAATAATTAATCGAATTACTACATCCACGTTTTACGTATTTACTTTGATACATCTCGGTTGAAGCTGCAGGAGTTATCGAAGGGACAATAAAGCTCTTACCAGGAAAGGCCAATTACATTAATTTAAAATGTAATTGATACATTTACAGAAGCACGTAATTTCCGAGAATTCCCTTCTCGAGTACACCCCGTCCTCTTATTTTTTAGTCCGTTTTCTCTTGCTTTACCAATAACTCTGGGTAGTTTTGCGTCGCTTATCTATAACTTAAATCTAAAAAGGGTTTTTGTTTTTATTGGTTTTTTAATCG